GGTGTCTGGGGGGGTCACAGAGGGTCTGGGGGGGTCACAGGGGGTCTGGGGGGGGTTACAGAGGGTCTGGGGGTCCCGCTCACCCTTCATCCCCCTCCTCCTCCTCCTCCCGGAAGCCGTTTCCCAGCAGATAATCCCGCAGGAATCGCTCGCCCGGCTCCAGCGCCGGGTCTGACCAGAATTTCTGTAGGGGCTCCTGGAGGGTGGGGGGGGGGGGGCAGAATGGGGGGGTTCAGAGCTGGGGGTCACCCCCAAGACCCCCCCCCAGAGCCCCCAGCCCCTCACCAGGTCCTGCAGCGGCTCCGGGGGGGGCTCGGCCTGGCCCCGCAGCCAGCGCAGGTACTGCTCCTCCTCCTGAGCCTGGGGGGGAAAACGGGGTCAGAGAGGGACCCCCAAACCCCCCGGGACCTAAAAACCCCCCCAGAACCCCCCCAGAACCCCCCTCACCTTCTCCTCCCGGGATCGGACCCGTGGGCGCAGCAGGGCCCCTCCTTCCTCCTCCTCCTCCTCCTCCTCACTGTCGGCCACGAAGGCTCGGAAACTGCGGGGGGAGGTCTGGGGTCAACCCCTGGTCCTGAGGACCCCCCCAAAATCCCAGATAACCCCCCCAGGACCCCCCCAGACCCCCTCACCTCTCCTTCAGCGCCCGCTGCTCCTCCGCGTAGCTCTGGGAGGACTCGACCTGGGGGGGATAAAAAAGGATTTTTTTTTTTTGAGGGGGGAGGTCACAGGGATTTGGGGGAGGCCAAACCTTCCTCCCATCCTCACCTTCCTCCTCTTGGCTGCTGTCTCTTCATCCTCCTCATCCTCCTCGTCCACGTATTTGCTGTGGGGAGAAAGGAGAAGGTCAGAAACTCCCAAAAATCCTCCCAAAAATCCCCCAAACGCCCCCTCCTCACCCTTCCTTCTCCAGCACCACCTTCCTCTCGTAATCCTTCAGGAACATCGGCTTGGCTGGGCGCTCTTCCTCCTCCTCCTCCTCCTCCTCCTCATCCTCTTCCTCTCCCCCGGATTCTGGTAAAGGCCAGGACGAGTTTTGGGCCCCCGCGAGTTTTTTTTTTTTGGGGAACCCCCGGGATTTTGGGAACCCCCCCCCCAGTACCTTGCTGGGTGTAGAACGTGGTGTCCTCCCGGTAAATCCGGGGGTCCCGGGTCTTGAGCAGCGCCAGGGTCCGGTAGAACTCCCGTTCCTCACGGGGGTCCAGGGCCTGGGGGGGGGTCAGGGGGGGTCACCCACAGGGACACCGGGACCCCCCCCCACCTTGTCATCCCCCCCCAAACTCACCACGTCGTCCCCGCTGGACTCGGAGCTGTCGCTATCGCTGTCGCCGCTGTCCCCGGTGTCCCCATAGCGGTCCCGCACTACCGGGGGATCAGCACCGGGCAGGGGTCAGCACCGGGAACGGCGCGGAGCCGGTTCCCCCCATCGCCTCCCGCCCGCACCCCCAGCCCCGGTCCCGTTTCCCCCCGTCCCGTTCCCCCCCCAACCCCCCTTCCGGTCCCGGTCCCGGTCCCGTTCCCGGTGTCTCACGGCGCTGCAGCTCCTCCCGCCGCCGGTACCGCCCGTAGCGCTCGGCGAACGCCGCGTTCACGCGGAGCTTGGGCTCCGCCATGGCCGCCCACGTGACCGCGCGGCACTTCCGGATCCGCCGCCCACGTGACCGGAGCGCCCCGCCCCTTCCCGCTCTTAAACGGGCAACGGC